TGTCAAAGATTAGAACAATTTAACCAGCTAATGTGTCTATCATGCCATGGATTGTGATATTGTTGGTAGTACCAAAGGATTCCGTTCCAAATCAGGGCACGATGAGAAGTCAAATTAAACTTTCAGATCAACAGATTCCCCAAAAAAAAAAAAAAAAAAAAAAAAAAAGGCTAGAGAAAAGTAAAGAAAAATTCAAAGTCTAAAACAAAAAAGTTCAAACAATCAAACATAGGAAGTTAGGAGCACACCTTGTTTAGACTTCAGAAAGCTTTAAGGAGGAGGCAAGGAGTTATCCAAGGCTTTCGTGATGTCCAGTGGTCGGGGGCAAGGAGCTAGGGCTTTCGCGAAGAGAGTCGTCTGCCGACTCTGCAGAAATAAAGCTAGGGCTTTGTAACTTTCCTACTAGTGCACGTTGACAAATATGGTAATTTCATAGTTTAAATTAAAAAAAATATATACACAGGTAATCAAAATCAAAAGGCGAATAGTTACTAACCTAAAAAAATTCTCGTCTGATCTGTTAATGTAGATGAGGTTTTGGAAACCCCCAACGACGATTCTTTCTCTCTGTGTGTGTGACTTTGTCTCTCTAAACCAAGCCACCAGTTTTGGAATGCTGACCGGTGATGGAAGGAGAGAGAGCTGTGATGACCAGTGATGGAAGGAGAAAGCTGTGATGACCGGTGATGGAAGGGCGAGAGAGCTGTGATGGAAGGAGAGAGAGCGGCTGAAAGTGTTAGGGTTATTACAAAATGAAATGGGAAAGGGGAATAAAGTGTTAATTGGCTCTCAAAAATAAAGTAGTTTAAGGCCCAAAATCAACAGAGGGAAGGGAAAAAAAAAAAAAAAAAAAAAAAGGAGGGAAGGGAAAAAAAAGGCTAAAGACTCAATACTAGCGCTCCTAAAAAGAGCGCTGGTACAAATGACCCAATACCAGCGCTCCTTTTAAGAACGCTGCTACTAAAGACCCAATACCAGCACTCCTACAAAGAGCGATGGTACTAAAGACCCAATACCAACGCTCCTAATGAGAGCGCTGGTACTAAAGACCCTATACACCCTATACCAGCACTCCTAAAAAGAGCGCTGGTAATAATGCACCTACACCAGCGTTCTTCAAAAGAACGCTGATAAAACCCTAATCTGTTGTAATGATAGGTTAGCTTGTGCTCATCCCCTGCGATTATCTGCACAGCCTCTAGGGGTTCTTCAATCGGACACTCCTCTTTTAACTCCTCCCTTCCATTAGGAGAGGAAGAACCCTGTAATTGCTATTTCAGCGTTTCTTGTTCTTATCAGCTAGGCAGATTATTGTGTGATAGCATTCCTTTGCTGTTACTTGATCCCCCTAAATATCGATAACCTCTCTTCCGTTTGGGCTAATGCACCTCATGACTTGATGTAGAGTTGATGGGACCCCTTCCATACAGCCCATTAGTAAATTGTACGTTGGATGAATATCCACAACCACAAAATTCTCTTTCAGGGATCTTTTGGCCGTTGTGATTGATAGTGTGATTACATGTATGGACTCCACTATTTTACCGTCGAACCCTACCAAGGGGTTCCTAGTGGGGCGAATTTGATTTGCGGCCAGTTTCAACTAGTCGAAAGTCTACTTTGTTATAATGTTTGTACTCGTGCCAGGGTCGATCAGTACTCGTCTGACCAAGTAATTGGCTACTAACAGGTTGATCACTAATGGGTCTTCGTGTGGGTGTTGTACCCTTTTGAGATCTTCCTCTTGGAAAGAAACCTGTGTTGGGTTAGGTCTGCAGCCTACAGCATTGATCTCACCGATCTTTCGTAACTTATGGGTTTGTTTGAGCTGAATCCTGTAAGAATTCTCTGGTTGCTCGTCCTCCTCTGGACGGCCATAAATCATATTGATTACTCGGACTGCATGATTTTCTGTCGTAGCCTTTGGAGTTGCCCGGGTTCGCTCATGCTACATTTGCTGTCCTAGGTTAATTAAATAGTCTGCCAATTCGCCCTTGGCTATTAATGCCTCCACTTGCCTTCTTAAGCTTCTGCAATCATTGGTTAAATGGCCAAAATCACTATGAAATGCACAGTGTTTACTTTGGTCTCTCTGCTCCATTGGTTATCTGATCAGAGGTGGGATTTGGAAGATATTTCTTGCCATAGTTTCCTGTTACAGTCTGGCCAGCGTTACATTGAGTGGTGTGACCCTTTCGGCAGTTCGAGATTTCTTCTCGAGGGCTCTTCCTTTCGATGCTCGGAAGTTCTCGATAGACTCTTGACGTGCTCAGTCATTCTTTTGGTCTGCTCTCCACAGTGACCAGAGTCACCATTTGCTGCCTGGTTACTTTGTTTTCTTCGAGTCTGATATAGTTTTGTGCTCGTGAATTTAGCTCGGACATCTTAGTCGGTGTTTTCTTTACCAGAGAGGAGTGAAAACGTGAGCCTTACACCATGGCTATCTTGAATGCCTCTATGGCCGTATCTTGGTTGCAATCTGGAATGCCAAAAGACTCCATATTAAATCGAGTGAGGAAGGCTTGCAAGCTCTCCCCCTTCATTTGTCGGATTGTGAAAATACTGGCAATGGTTTTTTTCTGTTTCTTGTTTCCATAGTACTGGGCTAGAAATGCTACGCATAGTGATTCGAAGTTTGGAATTGACTTGTATGGGCAGTTTTTGAACCACTCCAGGGCCACCCCTATCAGACTGGATGGGAATATTTTGCATATGAACAGATCATTGTGTGCCTCTAGTGTCATTTCCTGAGTATAATGGTTTAGATGTTGGAGAGGGTCTCCAGTTCCATTGAATTTGATGAACTTTGGCATCACTAATTTCCTGGGTCTCCCGACTCATTCTATCTCATCAGCAAAAGGAGTCTTCACTATTGACGCAGTGAATTCCCTCGCCATGTCTTCGAGTGTTTAGGCCTTCGGCCCTTTGATTCGCTCATCCACTTACTTTTGGAGCCTTGCTTTAAAGTCACTTCCTGAGGAGGGTTGATCAGCCGCTGGGATCTGTTCTTCCCTCCCGCATGAATCAGCATCGTCTAATTGGTGTACCCTAGTGGTTCGGGGTCCTCCCATGCTAGAGTTTCCAATGATGCGGAATTGGCTTGCTGTATCGTTGGCGTCATCCAATGTTTCGTTGAACTGTTGCCGCGGGACCCTATGCTGGAGAGGAGGGTTATCGGGGATTACAAGGCCTGGCTCCGGAGGAAGATTTTCGTTCGTTCGTTCAGGTGGTAAGTCGATCGGACGTCGTTCGAGCGGTAGGTCGATCGGACGCCGTTCAGGCAATAGGTCGATCGGGGGATCATTCCGTCGAGTGTCCCCCCGAAGTCTTTCGTTTTCCTCACACAGGGTATTGATTTGCACCATGTTGGCTTCCTGAGCTTGCCTCAGTGCGTTGATATGTTCAATACTGGCCTCATTGGCTTGTCGAAGGACATCAAGTTGCACTTGCATCTCTTCACGTATTTTCTGCATGGTTTCTAGTTGTTGTGACTATGCGATGTCTGATCCTATTGGCATTCTGGATTTGAATCACTTGTAAGTAGTAGAAAATTGGATTTTTGTATCAAATTCCAATAGACGATGCCAAAGTATAGGTGCAAATTTTTACACCCGAGCACTTAAAGAAATAAATTGAATAGAAATGCAAAGAATATTAGTGAAGTAAAAACAATTTTCGAAGAGAAGAACAATGATGGGAATTCGATGCCTCTTCATTCTCATTCAGACTCTATTTATAAACTTTTCTTAAAGATTTACATGGAGCCATTTCTTGGCTTTTACTCTCAAACGTAGGTATTTATACCTATTGATCGTGCGTATATCATTATGGCAAATGTTATGGATTTTTGGGCTTGTTAAGACTGGACAGTCCATTCAGCTTTTATGTTAAGTGGAGCTTCCTTCACTTAATTGGGCTGAACTAGTATGTGCATATGGCTTCTGCTGTTGGGCCTCCAACTGATTGTGGGCTTCTGGTTTATTTTAGTTTGGTTGTGGGCTGCTCTTTTGCTGCCACGTGGTATGCTGTGATTGTTGGGGTTTTTTCCCTCCACGACTTACTTTTCATGAAAGTATTATTATTGAAGATGTCTTGAACTAGTTTGAAGAAGTTGAAGAATTTTTCGAGTACTTTGAGATACCTGAAAATAAGCAAGCTCCACTTGTTGCCCTTAAATTGAAAAGATGGGCTTCAACTTGGTGGGAACAAATATGCACTAACCGGAAGAGATAAGGAAAATTGATGGCTGATTTTTTACTATCAAATTATGAGGAATTGATATTTCAAAAATATCAAAATTTATGGATATGTGACTGCCTTCGGGTGGAGCAGTCATTCGGAAAAATGATATGCTGCCAGATCGAATCTCTTTTGTGTAAAATATATACTGTCACGTATGATGTATAATTTTTTTAATCTCCGGCAGTCTGTTAAGATACACTGCCATGTAACTAGTGTGTAAATTTTTTGTGTATTTTACACAACATTTTTACACAGCCACATCAGCATATGTCCTCTCCTTCCTATTTCTCATTTCATTAACGAATCAATTCTATATTACATATTTTATAAAAATTATGTGGGGTTCAGGCATAATACTGGTTGATTATTGTTAGAGATATATTTTTACCCAAAAAGTATAAAACAACCGTTGGAGTTAAAAATAAATAATTCAAAATTTTTGTTTAAATCTATTTACAAAAAAAAAAAAAAAAAAAAAAAAAAAAAAAAAAAAAAAAAAAGAAGAAGAAGAAGAAGAAGAAGAAGAAGAAGAAAAACAACGGTTGGAGATGCTCTTACTTTCTATAATCTCATATGGCCATGCAACTGCTTTTTTATTTATTTATTTATTTTACAACTAGTTCTAATTTACTACGTAAAGTTGGCATACATAGGTCGTGAACATTGACATTAGTATCTTACATGGCGAAAGTGTAATATTTGCGACATCAAATTACAAGGAGCTCATACGAGCATGCATATATATATATATATATATATATATATATATAAGTGCATAGTGTATTTGTGTGCAATATTTTAATTTACCGCAGCCACCATAATTCTCGGTCCCTTGAACCGAAACAACAGAACTTGAACACCAGAACTTCCTCTCCAAGCTGAGTGGCTCTTCTTCGCGGTCCCAGTGAATCCCGGCACAGGGGACAAGTTATGTGCCTGGATCCAACCCATCTGTCTAGGCAGACTCTGTGAAAGAGGTGTTCACATCTCAATTCTCTTATCTCATCACCTTCTTCAATCTTACACAGACACACAGCACATTCCACACCTTCATCTGACCCTTCGCCTTCGTAGCGCCTTACACTGAGTTCTTCGCCATTTGGCAAACGATCACATTGTGAATGCTGAAAGTTGGAGCGTGGGAACAAAAAATTCCGGCCCAAATTCAAATGGGTAGTGGCTAGAATTACATAATGATCCATCATGAATGGTTGGCTGTTATACTTGCGAAGTAAGTTGTGGTAGACACAGATATATGATATCAAAAAGAGGAAGAAGATTATTATTGAACAAATTGCCAAAATGCTCATGTTTCCTTGTTTTCTGAAGGTTTAGGAGTGAGGGGTGAAGGCATAGTACAAAATATCTATACATATATATAGAGAAAGAGTAGTGGCGTGGAAGGAATATTTGGCGGAGCAGTCCTCGCCTAGGCTGCTGTGGTCCCCAAAGGTCTGGAAGCCACAAATATTTAAATTAAATGGGGGCATTACTAAGATTTTTAATATATATATATATAAACACACACGAGAGTCAGTAACACGTGACGTAATCCTCGAAAATTATAAACTTTCTTGGGGCCGCCACGACAAGAATGTGCGACTCTGTTCGCTTTCATAATATACAAACCCACACTTACCACGTTTTTGAGAGTGATAGGACAGGGCTATCACGGTTCAAGGTCTTATCAATCATTATATGAAAATCTTACGATAGGTAAATGCATTTTTCAACCTCGACTCTTCGGCGGTAAAGCTTGTTCTACGCCAAACATAGACTATATTGTTTTCTCCTCAGACCAATTGTGCTTAGACGTAATTTGTACATTGATTGTCTTTGTTGATCTTGACTTCCAACCTTGAACTCATTCGTTGGTCTTGTTACTTCATGAGAAAATTTCTTTGTGAAAATTAAATACGTGATTTTAATTATGACGGCTGATATATAGCGTGCTAGGCTCACTAACCGTAAACCTTTTCCCATTCGACAACAATTTTTTCGTATGCAAAGCTGAGGAGCTAATTAGATTGATTACACCCTTTCTGTTCTCTGTTTGCACTGAACTAGTCTTTTATATATAATGTGTTGTGTGAGTCCGGGAGCTATGTCCTACTGTGATCCTTTCTCATGAATCACAATAGGACGTACGCGTGATAGGAAAATGGCCTTTTCAACCTTGACTTTCACCGACTGTAGGCTATAATGTTTTGTCGACCTTGGACTTGATGAAAGACTGTTCCAAAGTTTATTAGTGGCCTAAGTACACTTCATGAGATCATTCCCCTATAAAAAAACAAAAGCCCACCTCGCGGGGTTGGACGATATCACCGTCCATGCAAACACAGTTTCAGGTGGGCTTGAGCCCATCCCAAAAAAAAAAAAAAAAAAAAAAAAAAACAACTTATATTAGAGGTAATTTAAGCTCAACCTAAAATAATAATAATAATAATAATAATAGTAGTTCTAGCCCACCTCATAATAGATTAGCCCACTCCATATGCATGAGACATTATTGTGCTCAGAAATACAAAAAATATGTGTGTGTATATCTTAGATTCGTATCCAATCCACTCCTAATTTAGTATATATGTGTGTGTATACATATCCTAGTTTTGAATTGATTTTCTCTTGTTCATTGTTAGATATTCTTAAGAGTTCATGGATATTAATGTGAATATATATTAAGAATATCTAATAATGAACAAGAGAAATTCAATTCAAAACTAGGATATGTTTACTGTCTATTTTGTTTGTCCACTTACAAAAAATTTAGAAAAATCAACTTCTTGAATAAGTGTACTTATGTTCGGGTCCCCACTCCTATCCATTGCAAGGAAAAATAAATTTTTTCTTTTCTTTTCTTAAAGTTAAATCATAAAACAATGTTCCCCATGCATGTTCTCCAATTTAGTCATCTCAACGTCAATCAACACATGGTATGAACTATGAAGTAAACAAATAATACTTTTTTTTTTTTTTTTTTTTGATGGATTCTGTACATATTAAGTATTATTTATTTATATTTTAGATGTGAATTTTTATGACTGTTCATTTTAGTGGAAGTAAATTTTATTTGAAGTGAAACTGTATAATTGAGTTTTTGTTTATTTGTAAAAGATAGAAGTGAATGGTTTAGTAAAAAAGAGAAGGGGAGAAAAGCATAGTGGTGATGGGATACATGGGCGTATCCAGGAATTGTCAATGGGGTAGGCTAAAATTAAACATAAATTTAATAACACAATTTCTTAAGAATTTTGTTTTTTTTTAAATAGAACATAATCTAGATAAATATTTGAATTCAAACCGGTGATGGGTAGAGTTCAAATTTTTTTTATTATTACTTTTTTTTTATAACTTGATATGAGGCCTAGGACATAGCACTAGTTTATGTATTAGGGCTTGTTTGGATTTGGCCTGTTTGGATCTAACCTTTATTTTAGTATTGTGACTTAACTGACTTTGGCTTATTTGGATGAGCTAATACTAATAATAATAAATACATATATATATATATATATATATATATATATATATATATATATATTATTACTTTGGGTTGGGCTAAAATTATCCATATTAATTTTTTTTTTTCTTTTTCGGGGTGGGCTAGAGCCCACCCCAGCCCTCCCTTGGATCCGTTATTGGATGAGATAATCACACTTATTGAATTTTAGAAGAAGTAAAATTGTATAATTAAGTATTTGTTATTTGTAAAAAGTGAATGATTTAGTAAAAAATAAAAGAGAAGTATAGTTAGTAATACTTTAGAGATAAGAAGGTTTGACGAGTAATAGATAATTATAAATAATAATAGGTAATGAAAAAAAATAAAAAGAGAGTAAAGAATGAATCAGTTTTAAAAAATAATTAAAAAAATAAAGAAAAAAAAAAGATAAGAAAGAAGAAAGATATATATATATATAAACACTGAAGGAGAGAGAATAAAATTAAATAAAGATGATATTATTGTCTTAAAAAATTATATTTTATTGCTTCATAAAACTTAGAACTATATATTAATTATAACCATTTTTTCAATTAATCATAACCATAACTGTCATTATTCATTAGCAGTGGCGTAGCCACATACGGACATGTAACGACCCACTCCACCACATGATATGATATTGTCCGCTTTGGGCCTGAACCCGCACGGTTTTGCTATTGGGTTTCACCCCAAAAGGCCTCATACCAATTAGAGGTGACACACTTACATATAAGCACTTCACCTTTCCTCTACCCAGGCGATGTGGGACTGTGCACCCATAGCTCGCCAGTGTGGTAGCCTGACAGTATCTCTCGCACCCGCCCACGGCACACCCGCCCACAAGGTCATCACAATCCACCCCTCTTGGAGGCCCGACGTCCTCGTCGGCACACTTCCGGCTGGGTCAAGCTCTGATACCACTTGTAACGACCCACTCCACCACATGGTATGATATTGTCCGCTTTAGGCCTGAGTCCGCACGATTTTGCTCTTGGAAAAACCGTGCGGGCTCAGGCCCAAAGTGGACAATATCATACCATGTGGTGGAGTGGGGCGTTACAAATGGTATCAGAGCCTGACCCAGCCGAAGTGTGCCGACGAGGACGTCGGGCCTCCAAGGGGGGTGGATTGTGATGACCTTGTGGGCGGGTGCAAGAGACACTATCGATCAGGCTACCACACTGGCGAGCCACAGGTGCACAAGTCCCACATCGCCTGGGAGAGGGAAAGGTGAAGTGCTTATATGTAAGTGTGTCATCTCCAATTGGTATGAGGCCTTTTGGGGTAAAGCTCAAGAGTAAAACCGTGCGGACTCAGGCCCAAAGCGGACAATATCATACCATGTGGTGGAGGTGGTCGTTACAAATGGTATCAGAGCAAATTTACCCCACACATGACCTGGAATTGTTGCCGGTGTGGAGGCATTACTTGTATGGCGAGGAATTTGAGTTATTCTCTGATCACAAGAGCCTCAAATACCTTTACACTCAGAAGAAGTTGAATATAAGGCCTTTTGGGGTGAAACCCAAGAGCAAAACCGTGCGGGCTCAAGCCCAAAGTGGATAATATCATACCATGTGGTGGAGTGGGTCGTTACAAATGGTATCAGAGCCTGACCCAGCCGGAAGTGTGCCGACGAGGACGTCGGGTCTCCAAGGGGGGTGGATTGTGATGACCTTATGAGCAGGTGTGCCGTGGGCGGGTGCGAGAGATATTGTCAGACTACCACACTAGCGAGTTATGGGTGCACAGTCCCACATCGCCTGGGTAGAGGAAAGGTGAAATGCTTATATGTAAGTGTGTCACCTTCAATTGGTATGAGGCCTTTTGGGGTGAAGGCCAAGAGCAAAACCGTGCGGGTTCAGGCCCAAAGCGAACAATATCATACCATGTGATGGAGTGGGTCGTTACAGAATATTACTTTCCCACAAAATATGATATTTTTTTCCACTTTTTCAAAATATTATATTCTTTCTCAGTTTCCACTTTCCAAAAAAAAAAAAAGTATTTCATCAAGACATTATTTCACACTTTTGACTTTACCATAAATAAATAAATTGTTTCCATCACATTTTCTTTTCGAATATTTCACAAAAAACTATTTACACACTCCTACTACAATATGACAGACAAATAATCTAATATTTTTTAATTAGAAAAATTATTAGTTATTAATTACTATCAAAATTATTTTAGGACTTTTTGTTCTTTCAAAATTTAGTTTGTGTAATTGTGTTACTAATTACTATTCTCTAAATAAGACTTAGAATTTATTTTATTTGTTAGTTATCTTATATCTTGCTTTTTATTTAAATTCTTATTTTTATTTTTTAATATGGATGAATTTTTATTATGAGTACATTGATTGTCTTGCATAGTAGTTATTAAGAGGACAGTTGTGAATGTAATATTATGAATCAATATTTTAATTTTTACATATATTATTTTAATTCAAATTATATATATATATTATATGTATATTATTCTTATATGTCCCACCAGAAGAAATTTTTAGTTACGCCACTACTCATTAGCAGTCGCCTGTGTGTCTATATGTATAGATATAGACACACAGGCGACAGCTAATGAGCATAGATATAGACACATGCGACTGCTAATGAGCAATATATATATATATATATATATATATATATATATGTACAAGGAGTCCTTTATCTAGCTCTAGTGAATTGCCTGTGTTTCACATATTTAAGTGACGTACATTGTCCCCCCTATTACTACACGTTTTTTAACCATGAACGTACACAGGCTTTTGGATTCCATTATTGAGCAGCCTTAAAATCAAAACCTACAAAAGTCAACGGCATGCACGTGATCGACGA